AAACTACCTTTAATGGGAAACGCCCTTCTGGACCTGTCTCAAACCTAGCTTCAGTCTTCAGTCAGGCCAAGTGTACAGAGGGTACATATAATACAGAGTGGCCTATAAGTAGTACGTCCCTCCGTAGAAGAGACGTCACGTCATGATACCATTTCTAGGGTAATACTATTATTATTCAATACACATCTTATTATACCTATACCAAGCGAGTTTCTCTCTACCTGAACCCCACCTACGCCCCCAAGTCACGCTCCTGTTGTGACGTCCCAGGACGAAATGTATAGGGGTAGTCAAAATAGGTTTCATTCTGATTGCAATACATACAATACAATAAAATTGAATGTAATTTACTTCATATTTACATGCAGAGATGTTTGATTTATTCTAATGAAAAATATTAACTACCTATCTATCTTTGTAGGTAATCTGTGTGGGTAGTCATATTTCCCATTAGAATAAATAAAACATTTCTGCATGTAAATATAAAGTGAATTATATTCATTATATTGGGTGGTATGAATAAAAACGAAGTACTTGCTACTACTACAAGTATTAGTATGTTCTACGTAGTATTTACTTCAAAACGAAGTAGATATTACATTTTGGTCGTTTCGAAATGTAGTATCTACTTCGTTTTGAAGTAAATACTACGTAGAACATACTAATACTTGTAGTAGTAGCAAGTACTTCGTTTTTATTCATACCACCCATTGTATTGTATAAAGGGTGGAATTTTTAAATGGAATGAATTCAGTATCAGAAAGCCTGTTTATTTTCTGGAAAAATAAAAAAAAAACGGGCCCATTTATTGTTAGTTTGGCACACTTTTTCGGCCTTTACATGAAATTCACCCCTCTCTTAAGGGTAGAAACCACCCCCAACTTTGTTTTTCAAATGTAAAGATATCGGGTCTTCAAAAAAAAAACCAATCAAAGATTGCTACACAGTAAAAAATGACGCAGTGGTAAAAAGTATATATCACAAGGTAAATTATAGAGGTGTTGAAAATAACACTAAAAAATATACTTATTTGTACTCTTTAACACTCGATGACCACTATTCGAATGGTAAATTTCGTATAAACACATTTTTATCTCTTTTTGTGTTATTCTTCTAACACAGTTTAAATAAATTTCACACTACAAAAAGGATATTTTCTTTCACGCTGGTGTAAAAAATTGCGTTAGTGTTAAAATAACCCGAAATTTGGTTAAAATAACACTCCTCAGGGTCGATTCAACTCTAGGCGTTGCTGGTGGTCTAACCTTTACCTAAAAATCGCGTCAGTTCGTTAGTTGTAGTTGCAGCTACAGGTACCGGTCCCGCGTGGTGCATCTTCAATCAATTTTAATCGTTTCCAAGTTTCGTGAAACGTGATTGATGCCATCCCAGGCTAACATTCAGGTGAAAACTCAAAATGTCCATTCCAGTATTTGAATTATTTCATAGAAACAAAGGAAGGTTCTGTAAATTAAATGATGATTTTTCGTATGAAGATGTCGTGGATCTAGGTAAGCATACTTATTTACTAAAAAATAAGGCACATACGCAATACGCCGCCATTTAAAGTACCTACCATTATAAAATAAAGATCTGTTGTTTTAGCGAAAAAAAAAATGCACTTGCAAAATCAGAAGAAATAACTAGGTGATACAAGTTACAAAAATTTGGAAAGTAGTAACGCTCCTCTGAATAACGAATCTGATCATGAGTCATCAAATTCAACGCTTTCAATTGATGGAAATACACGAACTGCATCTGAACTTGATGCATGGCTCCTCAACTCCAATGAAGGACCAGAAAACAGTTGTGGTGATGGATACCAGCATCAGATAATAGTCATATTGATCGAAATCCCAATTTTTACTTGATTAGTAAATACTTTTAATACTCAATACTGTGTTTTTTTACATTAACCAAAATATGTTTAACACTAGGTAAATGAAATTTACCTTTGATTAAAACCTAATTTAACACTTAGTCAAGTGTACTTTTTACGTCCTCCAAAATATATTTAACACGCAAGAATGGGTCAAATGAATCTATTTTTTAAATACTATTCACCAAATTTTACCACATTTTATCAGTGGTGAATTTAACACGCATGAGTGTGGACCTATATGTACCACTTTTGGGTGTTAAAATTAACACTAGATTTTTTACTGTGTATGGTTTTTTGAACGTATGTCTTAGCAATATTTGTCTTTAATTTTGTCAATGAAATTTAATGTCAAAATGTCACGTCAAAAATCCTGACGAATAAAGAAACAGTAATGCGTCGTACGTTTTCGTAGTCAAAGCAATCTTCGATTGGTTTTTTTTTTGAAGACCCGATACCTATGTATTGTGATAGCTTGTTGGAATGGGCATAAAAAAAGGAAAATGATCCATTATTTACTTTCGCATTTCGGTGACCTAGGAAGCGAGAAAAAAATTAAAACATATTTTTCCACACAATTTTTTTACAGTTAAAATTGTTGAATATCTTCAGCATTTCTTCTTGGTGGAACCCTAATGCAAAACAAGCCCCATTTTTTACGTTATGTAATTATTTCTGACGTTAACCACACTATTTGATGCCTGATACTCGGATTCTCAACCCTAAAATAGTGCGTTAATGTCAAAAATAATTACATAACTAGATCACCGAAATGCAAAAGTAAATAAGGGGTCATATTCCTTTTTTTATGCCCAATCCAACGAGCTATCACAATACATATCTTTACATTTGAAAAAAAAAAGTTGGGGGTGGTGTCTACCTATAAGAGAGGGGTAAATTCCATGAAAAGGCCGAAAAAATTTGCCAAACTAAAAATAAAGAGACTTGTTTTTTTTTTAATTTTTCCAGAAAATAAACAGGCTTTCTGACACTAATTTTATTCCATTCAAAAATTCCACCCGGTATAATGCAAGCAGATGAAACATACTATCAAACAAATTAATAATTTATTGAGTGTTCCATTTAAAAAAATGCTATTTGGGTGCATAACTATCAGAATATATTAGTGCTTTGTTTTTGTCCATCCCATCTAAAACTTGGAAAACAAACCTACAGTATGTTTTTTTTATTCATTTAAATAACTTTAAAAATAAAGAAATTATGACAGTTTAAAATATGTATTATCAAGAAAAAATGACGACACTGTACATGTCAAAATACAAAACAATATTCTATCACACAAGTTTAACTGATTTTGTTTGATACTAAATTGATGAAAGAACATTGTGTTGAGTAGAAAATAAAGCATTGTATGCACTACGGGGATTTTTAGATGCAAATGCCCTTCAGGCGAAATATATCCCTCGGGCTACTTTCGCCTTCTGGGCATTATAATCTACATAATCCCCTTGGTACATAAATAGCTATTATATTCCTTTAAAAATAAATAAATTATGACAGTTTAAAATGTTATCAAGATAAAATGACTACACTTTACAAAAACAGGAAAATTTCGATTTGAATACAAAGATTACAAAAAAAACTAAAAATTACAACAAAAAAAAAAACGCAAAACTCAAAATTGTTGTAATTTCTGTAATGTTTCCTGGATTTTTGTAATTTCTCGTATTTTTTGACAAATATTTTAAGAGGAAATTGACCAACAAAATCACAAAAATATTGCACAAAGAAAACAAAATTTTATAAAAATATTCACCAAAAATTATGTAAACAGCAAAAGAATAATTACGCAAATTTTGAAATTGTTGTTTCTTTTAATTTTATGCACTCAACTCGTTATTTTGGCCATTTTACTTTTTGAATTTTCTTTAAATTAATAACTAATTTAAATTCATTGAGAAATTCATAAATTTTCTTTTCTTATTTTCTCAAGAAAAGAAAATCGTAAAGAAAATTTGAGAACTTTGAATAGGTAGTCAAAAATTGTAACGAAATAATGAAAATGAGAAAAAAACATTATTAATATCCTATTAAAGTTGTGGGGCAAAACGTATGTTGATGTTTAAATTGTATTTTTGAAAAGTTATTCTACATTGAACTTGATAAATAAACTTTTTTATTATTATTATTATTGACACTGGAAAAAATCAAATTAAAAAAAAAATAAGAAAATTTTGATTTTTTTTTGATGAAAATTTCCTTCAGGTGAAAATACAGAGGCGTCTGGCAATTTTGGACCAATAGGAAGCGAATTACAGCGATAATTTTGCACAAGTGCAAATTATCGATAATTTGGACTTGTGCTAATTGCCGATAATTTTTTTCAGGTATTTTGTACCTGTCTCAGCGGGTTATTATCAGCTTTGTACACAGTAAATTAGACACAAATTATCAACTTTCTATACAGTAGATTAGACTATTTCCAAATCGAAGTTTGATATGTGTTCGTATTGATCGGCGTAAGGTCTTCGATACTTTTATCAATATCAGCCGCCAAACTCTTCCCAAAACTAGCCATATTTGCTTACAAATACGAAACTATTTTTTAATTTAAACTTTTGAAAAATTTGTTGATTGGCAACATAACAACATACTGATTGTTTTAAACAAGGTCCCTAGTAAAATAATGCGAACAGGTATAATGATTCAGGAAATTTTCTTATAAAATATAACTCGTGCAATGAAAATATATCTATAATTTTCATTGCACTTGTTAAATTACTACTGAAAATGTTTTGTTCTTTATTTATTTTTTTTAATTAAGAAAAGAGGAATAAATAATACCTACATAAAAAATAATTCAAGAGCTTGGATAGGTACCTAGATAAAAAATTAAACAAAAAAAAAGAAGAAATACGGGAAAAGAAATGATTAAAGAATTTTAATAAAATATTGTAAAAGGACAAAAAAAAAAACATTGATTGAAATTGGTGCCAAGTGCCAATAATTTTTGCTTGCTTGAGATTGATACATTATATTTGATGTGGTTGTGTTATCTATCATGCATAATGATTTTCAGCTGAAACAAATCAGGTAATTGAGTTATTTGTAAAATTAAGCGAAAAACTTACCATATGACTTTATTCGTATTGTTCTGACATCATTTATGATTCTTTAATATTTGGATGATTTCGGTACTTTTCCATTTTTTGGCTATATTAAGGGCAGTTTTTTGCTGAATATTTTTTATATTCGAAAGGGCGCCGTGTTGTAGAGGTATAAAAACAACTGCTCGTTTATTGTGCAATGTAGCATCGTGCAAAGGTGTATTTCCAATATTGCATTGAGAATTTATATTGGCGCCATTTTTCAGCAACGAATTTACTACTACACTGTGACCATTACAAGATGCATAATGAAGAGCTGTTTTGCCAAAATTATCTTTTCTTTGTTTTTCTGTACCAAATTTTAGAAGAATTTCTATCAAATGCGCATCATTATGGTTAGCACTTGCGATATGGAGTGGAGTGTATTGAAATTTGTTAGTGGCGTTAACATTAAATCCGTTTTTGAGCAACATATGAACAATTGCACTGTTACATTTTTCAGCTGCTACATGAAGAGCTGTTGAGCCACGATTATTTTTCACGTCTTTTTTCGCTCCGTGAACTAAAAGCGATTCAACAATTTCTGTTTTTCCATTACGAGCTGCCAAATGCAATTGAGTTTCGCCAACTTTATCTACAGCATCCAATTCTTTCACACCAAGTGATTGTAAGAAATTTTCCAAATCTGTAGCTTTAATTGTTGCTTCATCGTGTGATGATATTTTTTCACATGATTCTTCTTCCTTTAAACTAATATTTGTGCACTCATCCAAAGCCCTTGCCGAAATCGATTCAATGTTCACTAAATTATTTTCAGCATCACAGATGGCTTCATTAATCGATGGTAGGATATTATTCTTTTTCCACAATTTATTTAATTTCAATGTAAATATATTCGCCATTTCATTATCCATCATAGTTTTTTCCAGATTTTTTGAATTTTCCATAATAAAAATAATTTTCTTGCCATTCACTTTGATGATGTTTATCAAAGTTTCCAATATTTGAGATTGTTTATCTAATAATAATTGTTCTTTATTGTCCAAAATGCAAATTAACAGATCAGGAAAATTCTTCACAAAATCTTCATTTTGTTCTGAAGTCAATGTAATAAAACTGGTGAAATTGGTGAAAAAAATTTCGTTTAAATTTTCTTTTAAAATTGTATCCTTTTTAAATTTTATCAAAACTTGAGCCAATAAAACTCTAGTTACATCAATATCTGTAGTTTCCAGACACAATATGGAGCAATCATTTTCTTCTAAAAATCCTTTGGTCCCATTTTTCAAGGTGAAATCCGTCTTTTTCAGATTGTAAAGAAAATCTTGAGAATTTTCTCTCATAATTTGAACACAATCAACCATTTTTATTTTAAATTGCTATTCACTTTTAAACTAGAAAGAACTGATCTGAAACAACTTCACACTTATTTCACTTTACGATTTTCTCACTATACGTTCTATTTCAACTCGAGAAGATTAAACAATGAAAACCAAATTCACATAGCAAGGGCGACGGATAAAATAGAAAAGTCAGCAAAATATTATTTGTAAGGCGAATAGTCACAATGTTGCCGGACTGAATTTTTAAATTATCGTATTTAGGAAAATTTACTTAACACAGAGGCTCTTGGATTGGTGCTAATTGATTTAAATATATACCTACATAAAATTTTCAATTTAGTGGATGGTATAATTTGTGTAATTTTTCGTGATTTTCGTTTTTTTTTTTTTTTTTTGATATCTGTATTTTTGTATAATTTTTGTTTCTACCTACCTTTTATGTTTTTCTACTTTATTCTCATAATTTTTCGTTCTTTAAAACTTTTGCATAAAAATTACAACGGAAATTGTGATAATTCTATAGTTTTTTCGTTATTCGCCTAATTTTTTATTTTTTTATAAATTCTGTACATTTATACTTACAGACATCATGTACAGGGTGGCCCGTTTAAGAGGGGCCTATACCTTATCTCGAAATCTACAAGGGCTGTAAAAAAAACTTAAATACAAAAGTTGTTCCTTATAAAATTATCTACAACTTTTTTCTATAGTTTTTGTTGCCACTCTACTATATACAGGGTGGACAAATAATATTTAATTTTTTTTAATGAAACACCCTGTATTTTATTACATTTTTACATAGCCCCTTGAAAGACAAATCCAACGATATACTGGTTATGTGTTTGTGATATACCGTTTCGAACTTATCAGCGATTATCTTCAGGATTTGGCGTAATTTTCAACAGTTATTGTTACGTTACTCATAAACTTTCAGAACTTTTTTTTGTATAATATTTTTTATAAAATAATGCTCTTCTTCAGTCTATATTAAAACTTGAAATATTTGTTTTAAAAACGCGGTGTTGTCATGTTTCGCAAAATGTTACGCTTTTCAATTTTTTTAAGTTTGACCTCCTATAAATTTGCGAGTTTTTGGATAGCCCTTTAAAAGACAAATTTAACAATATACTGGACATGGATCTGTGATGCACCGTTTCCTGATTGGCGTTTATCTTCAGTTCTAGCACAATATCTCATGTCATCCCTGTTATTGAATGAAAAAAATGTCTAAATTTGCAGTGGATTAGCTGAATAGTGCTTTTTGTGCATTAATGGTGGCATTATTGAACAATTTTTTATACATTTATTAAAGCACGTTAATAGACGGTCGACGGAAAATAGACATTTTTGTTATTCACCAGGCGACTTGAGAGGTCAAACTTAAAAAAATTGAAAAGCGTAACATTTTGCGAAACGTGGCAACACCGCGTTTTCTAAACAAATATTTCAAGTCTTAATATAGTCTGAAGAAGAGCATTATTTTATAAAAAATATTATAGAAAAAAAAAGTTTTAAAAGTTTATGAGTAACTTAGCAATGACTGTTTAAAATTACCCCAAAGCCTAAGGATAATCGTTAATAAGTTCGAAACGGTATATCACAGACACATAACCAGTATATGGTTGAATTTGTCTTTCAAAGGGCTATGTAAAAATGTATTAAAATATAGGGTGTTTCATTCAAAAAAAATTAAATTTTATCTGTCCACCCTGTATATAGTAGAGTGACACTCAAAACAATACAAAAAAGTTGTAGATAATTTTATTAGAAACAACTTTTGTATTCAAGTCCTTTTTACAGCCCTTCTAGATTTCGAGATAAGGTATAGGCCCCTCTTAAACGGGCCACCCTGTACCATTGAAGATGGGAATTGGAGTTATCTGCTGAACTGGTAGAGGTAGATTTTTTTTTGATCTCACATTCCAATTTTCTATGACAAATCCAATGCCGCAATCCGCAGGTCTCTATCTTATTTCGTTTGGGAGATACAGGGTAAAACTTGAAATGTTCACTTTTCGAGGGTATGTCATTATCTAGAATCTAGCGTATGAGAGAAAATATCAAAAAGGTCAAAATTGTATCTCACGATTCTCACGTAGTTTTTTACGTTGATTTCATTGGTATGCAATATTTTTTTTTTTTTCTGGGCTACCGTTTGAGAGATATGACACAAATTTTATCTTCTTTAAATGTGAAATCCTGTAAATTATTACATTTTAAGAACACGCATAAAATTACCTTTCTTATGATATTATAATTTGTCTATTTTTTTTTTCCTAATTTGCCAATATAATTAAAGTACCTGTCCCAAATAAGGCCACATTAAGAAGTTTTATTTTTTCCTAACATTATCCACCAAACCCAACAAAAATCACGAGCTTATAATATGTGAAGTGTTCCACTTCTATTACTTGAATATTAACTCCAATTTTTTTTTTATATAAGTGGTGGTTTTTGCGTAAAACAAAGACGCTTACCATTGGCCTTATTTGAATCACTATGCTCCTAATAAGGCCACCATTAAAACATAAATAAATATAAATACAATTATTAATTATAAAAATATTATTATCTGAGAAATAGTACACGAAATATAACTTATACGTTTGCTGCATTCCTAAAAAAACAATAATCCCAAGTCCTGGGATGGTGATCCAAATAGGTCTACATACAACTAGGACAAATGAACCGCAGCATCTCTTGCTTGGTTAGACTCCAGGCATTTCAAAAAACATCACCAAGGTAATAATATGACACATTCTTTTGTAAAAACATTGTGATGTGAGGCCAATTGAACATTTTTCGTATGATGGCTGGCCTTATTAGGAACATGTTAAATTAATTTAAAAAAGTCTGTAACTAGAAATCTATCAAAGATATTATTCTGTACTTATACTCTGTAGCTTTCTCAATACATAAATGTGCGTTGAAAAATTACAATCGCTCCATTCACTTAATAAACACGTATACACGCCTGGCAAGTGAACATCTTGCATGCCAATTTCAATGCGATAGAATGAAATGTCTTGAGAAAGTCTAAAATTGAAAAGAGAACGACAACGATTACCCCTGTTCCACCTCTAGCATTCTCTGTGCTTTGTGCTGGAGGTGAAATAGGGGAAATCATTTTCGCTCTATATTCAAACTTAGAGTTTTTCTAAACATTTTTTTTTTTTTTTTTTTTTACGGATATGCGCACTCGCAAGGAAATGTCCTATCATGCTCGAGAAGCGGCAAGTGCGCGGAAATGTCGGTGTATGTTGGTCTTGAAACGGTTCAGGTTGTAACCTGCAGGGAAAACCGTCGCAGGGAGTTTATTCCACAGCGATGCTGTTCTCCAGAGATATGAATTCTGATATAATGAGGTTCTTGGTGCCTCTAGTTTGACAGTAAATTCATGGTTACCGTCTGTTTGACGGGTTCGCCTGGTAGGTGCTACTCTCGGTGGAATCATACGTGCCAACTCTTCAGAGCATTTTCCGTGATAGTACCTGTAGAAGAGAGATAAATCGCCCACAGATCTGCGATCATTTCATTCTATCGCATTGAAATTGGCATGTAAGATGAACACTTGCCAGACGTGTATAAGCAAATTAAGTTCCAGCCTCAAATTTATAACGTCACAATATGAAATGTGGTTGGCCATTTTTCGACATATGACGAGTTTCTAGGAACCCTAGCAATAATTTTTGATTTGCATTATAGATGTCTTTTTTAATAATATTGTAATTTTTGGAAATGGGATTCAATATTAAGCAATAAAGGACACTGGCCTTAAAGTACATGGCCTTATTTTGGTCAGGTACCTTTATGGTATTTGAAACTTTCCACAAGAATAACCCTTGGAAATTGCATTAAATTAAATATTTGGTTTTGTTTTCTGGTTCAATATGTGAAAAACTTATAATTTTTTTCATATGGGATACCCTGCAAAATAATAGGTACTTTATCAAGGCCCGTTTATTCACCTTCTGATAAACTATCAGTTATGCAATCCCACTGGTCGGCCAGTTATCTGCCGACCAATAGAATTATAGAACGGTAAATTTACCTTGCAGATAGTTACCAGCAAGTTTATTTGAATATTAAGGCCTAGTTTATTCATCTTCAGATAAACTTGCTGGTAACTATCTGCAATATATAAATTTAGCAAATAACGGAAGGGCTGAAGTTTGTGCCAAGGCCGTTATTTGCAGTTATCGGCCGTGTTTCGTTCTAGATTTTTCGTGATACTGTACTGTTATCTTAATATAACATGAGCAAAATTGAAATCGAAATAGTATATTACATACCGAGGAGGAAAGTGTTTCATTTCATTACTGTCGAGAGATTTTAGTTAGGTAACTAACTAAAATCTCGTGACAGTAATGAACAATCATTCGAATTTGGTAATTTTTATTTGAATGAAAACTAAAAAAATACAATAAATTTCAACAATTTCATTTACTTTCGGCCTACGGGAGGAAAGTAGTAAACTTTCGACCCGTGGGTGGAAAGTAAAAGTCAAACAAGTGACATTTTCAAACTTTTTAAAAGTCAGAAAAGTCAACATTACATGTATAATTGAAAATAAAGGTATATTTAAAAACCGCCGGCCGTTATTTGTCCTCCGGCCGGTTAAATATAAATAACAGGCCGCCGGCTATTAAATTAACGGCCGCCGACCGGGAGAGTGTTTTTTTGTCAGATTGAAAGATATCTGCAGTAAAACGAAAAATCTATTAATAGTTCTACGGTTGCTGAAACTTTAGATTCTCAGTGGATAAGTAGATTTGTTATACCAACTTCTATTATTACCTACATCTGATAGAGGATCTCGATTTGAGTCAAAATTACTTAAAGATTTAATGTTAATTCTTGGCACTCACCACATTAAAACAACAGCTTATCAACCTATTTCTAATGGCGTTATTGAGCGATATCATCGAAGTCTCGAAAGTGCTTCGATTGCGGTTGATGGTGTTCCTTGGGTTGATTCTCTTCCTATAGTCATGCTTGGACTGAGAACTTGTTTTGAGGAT